TATAATATAAGTAATTTAGTTACATATAAGATCTTTAGCTTAGCGCCTATACACCTTTTTTAAAGGGGTAAAACAACCTATATTAAGAGGCTATAGAAGGTGTAATAAGTATAAAGGCATGTAAATAGTAATAATTTTATTTTTTTTATAGTACTACTAGAAATTAAGTAAGTTATAGCTTTTATAGCTATTAATAATAAAAACCTAATAAGCGCTTATAACCTTTTTTTTATATACTTATTAAAGTGCTTTAACTACTGCAGCTTAAGCTTATTTATTATCTAGCTGTTCTTAAAGACTATAATAACCTAGTTTTAAAGCAGATTTTTTTTTATACTAGGTAAAAAAGTAATAGCAGCCCTTAAAAATAATAAAGAGTAGAATAGCCTACTTTATTATATTAATACCCTAGATAACTATTATCTACTCTTTATTACCTTACTATATTACCTTTAGCTGTCTTTATTTCTTTAAAGCTATAATAACTACTCTAGTTAATATCTAGCTTATTATAAAGCCTAACTTATTAAAGTTATACATGTCTTTATTCTAGATACTGTACTTAGCTTTTATGTTAGCTACTAGGTAAAACTAGCCTTAGATAACCTCTAGATTCTCATAAAATGCTCTTTTATAATTATACTTATAATTAAACTTTATTATAAACTTAAAGTAGTGCTTAACTTATATACTAGGCTAGTTTAAGCTAACCTAGCCTAGATTACGCTCTGCGCGTAAGAAATTAGCTATATTAGCTATAGCTATAAGCCTAGAGGGAAATCTGCATATAATAAGCTTAAGTATATACTTAATAACTACTTTTTTCTTAAGCTTAGTTAAATTTTTTAATTTAGGCTAGCATTTTACTTTTAAAGGCTGTCTAGCGCGTTAATTACTTAGTGTTGTGTAAAAGACATTATAGATAGCTATAGCGTGTTATAAAAAAAGTTTTAAGTTTTATTTAAAAGCCTAAAAAGTAAGCTGTATTTAAGATTTTTTAGAAGATTTAATCTAGTGTTGTTGTTAAGGCATTATATAGATAGGTAGAGTGTGGTAGGGGCTTAGCAAAAGTGGCTGGCTAACCTGTGTGGCCAGCCAACCTGTTAGGTACGTTATAACCTTTACTTTACACTATAAAGAAACTAGCCTATAAACTTTTATAAATTAATTAACTAACTATTAAACTTATAAAATATATATAAAAAATTAGCAATTAAAGCTAGATCTAGTTAGAAAATAATAAAATAATATATAAATAAATTATAGTAACCTAGACTAGAAATCTACTCTAGAGACTACATTTACTTTAAAACTAAAAATCTTAAAATACCTAGACTCTCTAGGAAGCTAGTAGAAAGGAGAATAAGACTTTATAAAGTCCTATAGACTTAATAGGACAACTGTAAACTTAAGCTTCTATTGCATATAAAGATACACCTATAGTTTTATGTCTCTAAGCTAGAAAAAGCGCTTAAAGAAATTCCTCTATCTACATAAGAATAAAAAGATAAAGAAGATAAGTATAAAGTTAAACATATTATTAGTAACTAAAAAAATAAAAAAGAATTTTTAGTAAAATAAAAAGAATAGCTTACTAGCAAAAACACTTAAGAACTAGCTAAAAACTTATAAAACGCGCAGCTATTAGTATAGAAGTACTTTTAGGCTTGTCTAAAAGAAACTAGCTAGGTAATAAGGCACCTATTTTAAAAAAAAACAACTGTGTTATTACTAGATAGTAGTAGCCTTTAGAGACAAGTCTCTACTAAAAAAAGTTGTAGAGGTAAATAACTCTTTACTTTAGCCTTAAAAGCTTTTATCTTGTCTAATAATAAAAGGTCTTTTTTTAAATACTTTGCACGTTAAGCCTTTAATAAATTTAGTAATTTTTAGATATAATTCTATTTAAAACACTTTTTAGCCTTTACTTTTACTAACTTTTAAAGATAATAGGTTATCTTTTTATTTAGCTTCTACTTATAGACTTTTACTGCTGCAGCATTCTAAAGAAGCTTCTCTTTTTTCTTTTTTAATTAATTTTATGTAGTGTCTAAAATAAAAGTGTTACACTAGCTGTTTTTTTTTTACACACTTTACATACTTATTTAATAATAAAGTTAGCATATAAAACAACTCTAATAATTAGTAAGCGCTATAGGGCTGTATTTTTGTCTATTAAAAAAGATTAAAATAGAGAATAGTATAAAAATAATAAAATAAACAAGACTAGTAAGCTATTTAGTTTAAGAAAAGTAAATGTTAAAAATGCCTTTTAGTAGGTAGGCGCTTGCTTTATAAATAAACCTTTACTAACACAGTTGTGTAAGCAGAGCGGCAAGGACACTACTAGGGAGGAGAGGCAGCGTGTTATAGTCTACAGTTAGACTAGCATAACTCTGCTAGTAGTGCTCTACAGCCTAGCTAGGTTAGAATAAGGCTTACTTATAGACTAATTAAAGGACACAGAGGACACAGAAGCAGCGTAACTACCTGCAGTAATAGAAAAATATGTTGTCTAATAAAAGGACAGGCTATAAGTCTATTAAGTCTAAAAGAGTTTATAGAGCTGCGCTTAGCAGGCTTACATAAACTTATCTTACTTATTCTTAGCACCTTTAAATATATATATAGTCTTAACTTTAAACAACCTTTAAAAAGTGTGTTTAATGTTTAGTTTATTTTTTACATAAACTAAGTAGCATTCTAGCTTTCTAAAGAGCTGCAATACTATTTGTATATCTGCACTATATATACCTCTAACCCTGTCTAACAGGACTGTTTAACCTAGCTACTATACTGCTGCTTAAGGGCAAACCACAATCTAGTCACTCTACCTCTCTCCATCAGCCTAATAGCCTTTACGTAGGACTGTACACCCTGCTGTTGGCCCCTTCTATCCGTCCTACCCCATCAGGAATACCATTGACCCGCGTGCTTCCACGAAGCAAGGATTGTAACAGTTACAGCCTATAGATGGCACAACGTAACTTGACCTAAAGTGCTTTACAGGTTAGCTAAGTTAGGATAGAATTTGTTAGCAGACTAGTTAGATAACCTAGAAGCAGCCCTGCTGCTAAGGATTATAGAAGAATGTGTTATCTAATAAGTAAGACAAGTAGAGACGCTAAAACAAGCCTAAGAGAGTTTAATAAGTTAGTAGTACTATAAACTTGCTTAAGCTCCTTAAACTTAGTCTTAGCGCAAGTAGTTATGTATATAATTTTAGCTTAATTAGACCTTTAAGAGGTGTAATTAAAGTTTAGTTTATCTTTACATAAACTAAGTAGTATTAAGCTTTTTAATAAGCTAAATACTAATTATATTTCTTACACTATAAATACCTCTAACTCTGTCTAACAGGACTGTTTAACCTAGCCTCTATACTGCTGTTTAAGGGACAAACCACGATCTAGTCACCTAAAACACCTCCACTGCCTAATAGCACGCAAGGTAGGACTGTACACCCTGCCTGCGGCCTCTCGGACTCCCCGTCCATTCCGCCTACCTAACGACCCGTGTGCTTCTACGAAGCAAGGATTGTAACATGCCTGCGCTGTTACAAGCATAAACTAGCTTTATATATTTATAAAGTGTTATTTAAAGATTAAAGTAAAGTTTAAGTATAACTAGAATTATAAAAACGCTTTTTAATATAATCTTAAAGTAAAGTAGCACTAGCTAAGCTTTATAAAGAATATTAAAGCTAAGTATATTATTTAAAATAATAACATATATAACTTTAATAAGATAAGCTTTATAATAAGCTAGATATTTACTAACTATACTTATACTTAAAACTTTACTTTAAGCTTTAAAAAATACTTTATAAACATACTAGACTAGTCTATACTAACATAGCCTAGATTATGCTTAGCGTGTAAAGAATTAGCTATATTAGCTATAGCAACTAGCTAAGAGGAAATTTTTTATATATATAGCTTAAGTATATGCTTAAAAATTACTTACTTTTTATTATCTAGCCTTTATAAGTTAGCTATAGAATTACCTTATAAAAGTTATCTAGCACATTAGTTATTTATTATCTTTTAAAAGACTTTATATATAGCTATAGTATATTACTTTAAAAGTGTTATGTTTTAAAAGTTTAAAGTATAAGCTATATCTAAAATTCTTTTAGCGCGTTTAAGTAGTGTTATTAGAAATGCATTAGTGTAAAAGAAGTACTTTAGTAGAGTCTTAGTAAAAGTAAGTAACTTAGCTGTGTAAGCAACTTGCCTATAGTGTATGTTATAGTCTTTACTTTATATAACTAAAAGGCAAAACTTTGTATTTATAAATTCTTTATTATGTTTAAAAAGTAGTATACTTTTTAAAGCTTAAGTCTATTCTAATTGTAAAGATAGGATAGTAGATAGCACTAAGACTAAGGTTTTAGAGAAAGATAGAAGCGTATTGTAAGAGAGACGAATCGTTGCCAAGCCTCGCTTGTTACGATTCATGCTTATATACGAAGCACAGGTTATGTGACCTCCAAACAGGTCAGGGGAGGCCATACTGGCCCGTTCTGGGACATCCGGTGTTTGCAGTAATCACACGATAGTCGGATGCGTCGTCACCATGGTCGCATGCGTCGTCACCATGATCTGTTGCCAAGACTCACCCACTCATTTCGCATGTATATAGACTCCTACAAAGGACTCCTCTAGCAATACATACAATGCAGTTCCTCATGTCTCTGGTGCCTCACATAGCTTCACATCCGGCCTTACACTTAATATATTACTATTAAGTAGTAAAGTGTTATTCTTGTTCTCTCTTTTCTAACTTCAAGGCTGTATTAGATGTCTCTCTAGCAATGCACACATTATGTAACCCCTAACCTAATATTACTCTAAGCCCCTGATGTTGAATCAGGTCCTCTATCTGCCCAGCACCCCTCGCCTGGAAAACACTGTAGTTCTACTACAATCTATGCACTGCTTTTAGGTAACAGAGATTACTACACTGCGTTTCTACCCGCCAAAGGTTTTGAAATACTACTAGTTAAAATTCGTTAAAAGCAATTGCTTCACGAGGGTGGGATAGGCAAAATCCAGTTCTACAACCCCAAGACGATACCGCTTGTCCCAGTACTTATTCTTGATGAGCTCGCTCATACGCCAACTCAAATACTTAGAATGGTCCCTTGGAGTCCGATAGTTATGATTTTTGATAGCTACCAAATTGGAGATGACATTACCTGGAGGAAACCAGTAACTATTGCAGCCACAATGATACCAACAGCCATCATCGGTAGAGCCGTTGTTAGCGTTCCATTCCAGGCGTCGCGCCACATCTTCCCAATGTTTCTCTTCGTTTGCATAATCCCAATTGATATTCGGCGATCCATCGCGGCTTGGAGAGAGGTTTATGCCTTTCGTAGCGTGATCGGTAGACAGGAGAACCATCTTTCCTCGGCATTCGTCAAGAGAAGGCTCCCTAGTTTCCGTATAGCTGCATGAGTAGCTACTGAAAGCGTCCTCGACTGCCCTTCTGGTTTCCGGAGTTTCGCCATGACGATCTCCCGTTAAAGACTCCATGTCTCGCTTCGCCTGAACGAGCACAGTTTCGTCAGAATGCTGCTGTAGAAACTCTGCGATAACGTCGAGGGCCTCTCGAAGGTATCCCTTAAGCCCAATACGGCCATGTCGTAGATGCAGATCAGTACCGGACGTTCGAAGGTCAATATAGCGTACACCCATGAGTAGTTGTTCCCTGATCCCATACGTCTGGCACTCAGCGAACTCCCGTACGAAATCAGGGTATACAGGGGAGGCCTCAACGTATCCAACCCTCGCAAAACTGTTGTGGGTGCCGGGTATTGTGAGACTGGAGAGTTTGTGGGTTCCAGGGCGCTGCTGCCGGATGTCGCGCATCCAATCAGCTGGATCAAGGTTTTCGACGCTACTTTTCACTATAGTGCTGTCATTCAATTTATATTAGCACTTTTCAACACTGTTTTCGTGAGTCGAATGTACCTTGGGTGCGCAGGCATCTCCAGAAGATTCCCATTGTACTTAGTCCCCATTGACAGACATATAATCAGGGCTTAAATAGTCAGCAGCTGTATTAATCATTAACAAGCACTCCTTACTCATGTTTCCCTTCGAATTTGATCGTGCCACCAGAAACAATCTTGCATTCATAGTGGAAAGTCCTCACGAATGTGCTGTAGGATTTCATCTCGGTTCGTACTTGGCACTTGTCCTCTGAAGCCTCTGGCGATGGTTGGTTGTCGGCATACCACACCAATGTAGAATAGCCTAGACATTGACTTTCAATGTCTGATCCGGCAACGAGTACACTAAGCCGGTACGATCCTTCATCGTACAGTCTGGTACGTATGTCATTTGGAAGACCTGGAATAGGTGGCATACTTGAGGTGTATCGCTAATGAGTAAAACGACTGCGCAGACCGTCTAAACCGAATCAGAGAAGCTTAACAACAAACCGCAGTGGTTCCAAAGATACACTCCAATCTATATTTAAAGGGAATATTTGGTTCCCTCCGCGGAAAAATCAGGAAAGATGGCAGTTGAGCGGCTCTCATAGCCTACTGCCAGCGAGAACAATCTGGACACAGTCGCTTAAACTCGCCCTCAATGCAAGCCCCATCACTGTGTTAAATAAATCTAACCTATGCGTGAATCACAAACTCTGCACGTCCCACGGGGATCACTAGCTTGGCTTAACTTGTATAGTATGCATTTCCTACTCCACTCGCACCAAAGCCATTGTTCTACAAAACGCGACAATTCCCTGCATTTTTTAATCTCCACTCAGTTGAAAATATCTCTTCAGTTGTCTTCCATCCAAAGGATTCGGTTCTAGACTCAACTCCAGCTCCCCTTAACTTATACGGTGTGCATTTCCTTCTCCACTTGCACTGAAGCGAGTGTTCTAGACGCTAATCTAAAAGCCACATTGTGGTTTCTTGTTTTGTTCATATCTAGCTAGCCTATCACCCTTAAGTTGTCTTTTATCTAAGAGCAGAGGTTTTAAACTTAACCTTAGCTTGCTGTAGCTAGTATATGTTACGACCCAGGATAGGGGCGTAAGCGAGTGTCGAACGGCATTGGAATTGTACGAACACTATTGGTGGACAGCCCTCTTGGCTACCCAGTACGAGGATTGGTGCAGACCAACCAGAAGTATCAGATCGTGGTATACCAATCAGGTATAGTGTGGACGCAATAGACGCAAAATGGATTTGCGACCACTGCGACCACTGCGACTAAAACATCTAGTATATAGTTGTAATCTTAACTATAGTTAGGAGGTTATAATTAAAGTTTTGTTTTATCTTTATAATAAGACTAAGTAGCTATAACTATTTTTAAAGACATTTATTACTTGTAACGTACCTAACAGGTTGGCTAGCCACACAGGTTAGCCAGCCACTTTTGCTAAGCCCCCACCACACTCTACTTATCTACATAATGCCTTAACAACAACACTAGATTAAATCTTCTAAAAAATATTAAATACAGCTTACTCTTTAGGCTTTTAAATAAAACTTAAAACTTTTCTTATAACATGCTGCAGCTATTTATAATGTTTTTTATATAACACTAAGTAATTAACACGCTAGACAGCCTTTAAAAGTAAAATGCTAGCCTAAATTAAAAAATCTAACTAAGCTTAAAAAAAAAGTAGTTATTAAGCACATACTTAAGCTTATTACACACAGATTTTCTTTTAGGCTTATAGCTATAGCTAATTTCTTGCGCGTAAAGTGTAATCTAGGCTAGGTTAACTTAAACTAGCCTAGTATATAAGTTAAGCACTGCTCTAAGTTTATAATAAAGTTTAATTATAAGTATAATTATAAAAAAGCGCTTTATAAGAATCTAAAGGTTATTTAAAGCTAGTTTTGCTTAGTAGCTAATATAAAAGCTAAGTATAGTATCTAGAATAAAGACATGTATAACTTTAATAAGTTAAGCTTTATAATAGGCTAAATATTAACTAAAGTAGTTATTATAGCTTTAAAAAAATAAAGACAGCTAAAAGTAATATAGTAAAGTAATAAAGAGTAGATAATAGTTATTTAGAGTATTAATATAATAAAGTAAGCTATTTTACTCTTTATTATTTTTAAAAGCTAGTATTACTTCTTTTCCTAGTATAAAAAAAAGAATTTACTTTAGAAATTAGTTATTATAGTCTTTAAAAATAGCTAAATAATAAATAAGCTTAAGCTATAGTAGTTAAAGCACTTTAATAAGTATATAAAAAAAAGTTATAAGTGCTTATTAGCTTTTTATTATTAATAGCTATAAAAGCTATAACTTACTTAATTTTTAGTAGTACTATAAAAAAAATTATTACTATTTATATGCTTCTACACTTATTACACTTTTTATAGCCTCTTAATGTAAGTTGTTTTACCTTTTTAAAAAAAGTATATAAGCGCTAAGCTAAAATTTTTATGTGGAACTAGATTACTTATATTATAAAACTTAAGTTTTTATTATGCTTTATATATGCTTATAATGCAGTAACATACTTTATAGGCGAGTTGCTTACACACCTAAGTTGCTTACTTTTGCTAAGACCCTACTACACTACTCTTTCTACACTAATGTATTTCTAATAACACTACTTAAATGTGTTAAAGGAATGTTAGATGTAGCTTATACTTTAGGCTTTTAAATAAAACATAACACTTTCTAACTAACACACTGTAGCTATTTATAAAGTCTTTTAAAAGATAATAAGTAACTAACACACTAGATAACTTTTTTAAGCTAATTATATAGCTAACTTATAGAAGCTAGATAATAATAAAAAGCAGGTAATTATTTAGCACATAATTAAGCTAAATGCGCAAGGATTTCCCCCCTAGCTAGTAGCTATAGCTAATATAGCTAATTCTTTACACGCTAAGCATAATATAGGCTATATTAGCATAAACTAACCTAATATATTTATTAAGTGTTACTTAGAGCTTAAAGTAAAGTTTAAGCATAAGTATAACTATAAAAAAGCTTTTTATAAAAATCCTACAGTAATTTAAAGCTAGTTTAACTTTATAAAAAAATTAAAGCTAAGTATAGCATCTAGAATAATAACACATACAACTTTAACAAAACAGAGTTTATAATAGGCTAAATATCTACTAGAGCAGTTGTTACAGGTTTAGAGAGACAAGAACAGCTAAAAGCAGTCTAGCTAAGTAACTAGAAGTAGATAACAGCTATCTAGAGCATTAATGCTAAAGAGTAAGCTATTCTGCTTTTTATTATTTTTTAAGGTAGTAACTACCTTTTAAACTAGTATAAAAAGAAAAGTCTACTTTAAAATTAAGTTATTATAATCTCTAAGCGCAGCTAGACTACTAATTAGCTTAGTCTAGACTAGTTAAAGCACTTTAATGTGCATATAAAAAAGTGTACTATTAGCAGCTACTGTCTGCTAGTTATTAATAGCTATAAAAGCTATAACTTACTTTATTTTTAGTAATACTATAAAGATAATAAGATTATTACTATTTACATGCTTTTTTACTTATTACACCTTTTATAGCTACTTAATGTAGGTTGTTTTACTTCTTTAAAAAAGGTGTATAAGCACTAAGCTAAAAACTTTATACGTAACTAAATTACTTATATTATAAAAATAAAATTTCTACTATGCTTTAAAGTAGCCTATAATGCTGTAATTACTTCTAGTAATATCTAAAAAGAGTTTTAAAGTGCTAGATTAGTTCTTTTTAACCTATAATAAGTTATAATAAGCCTTAATGTAAAGTTACACACTCTATTACTACTACTACTTATATATAACAAGCCCTAGCAGTTGTAAACTCTAAGTAATACTCTAAAACTTAGGTTATAATTAATGCTTATAAAAATAAAAATTTAAAAGTATATAAATAGTTTACTAACTTCTATAGTTAAAGTGTTTAAAAAAGTTTTAAAAAGAGCAGCAATAATTATACATAAGCTAGTGTTAGTATAATAAAAAATTACTAAGCTTTAAGCAGCTAATAAAGCTACTATGTAACATAAATTATATAAAATAAAGTAAATTAAGGCAGAAAAAACTTTAATAATTTAGAAAAGCCTATGCTTAATAGCTCTAAAGGAGTTTAGAGTGCGCAGTAATAGAAAAAAGGCAAAGAAGCAGGTGTAAGCTAAAGTAGGTAAGCTATCCTAAAGGCGCTGCAGATAGTGTAATTAGACTAGGCATAACGCGCAAATGTGTAAGTAAGAAGCAGAAGTAGTATCTAAATAATATTCTAGGCTGTACTGTACTATATAGTGCTAGAGCGGGTTGTTATAGGCTATAATAGAGTTTGTTAGGGTGGGGTCTTGGCAAAAGTGAGCGACTCGGGTGTGTGAGCAACTCGCCTATAAAGTACGTTAATTACTTTTAGTAATATTTAAAAAAAGTTTTAAAGCACTAGTTTAGTTCTATTTAACTTAAAATAAGTTAAAATAGCCTTTAACATCTAGTTATATACTTTATTACTACTACTACTTATTAATAATAAGCTTTAGTAGTTATAAACCTTAAGTAATACTTTTAAATTTAAGTTATTGTCTGTACGCAGCAGCAGCGTCACGATCTGGATACGAGCGATCGCGCACAAGCAGGACCATGTATCTATGTCACATAATGCTTGTGCGCAAACCTCTGTGCGCAAACATCTAGATATCCCTTTTTTTCTCTATATAGAGAAAAGATAAGAGTAATAGAACTAGAAACATGTTACTTTTACCTTACCTACTTTATATGCTGTGTATACTATACACTACTTTTACTTTTACTACTTAAGTGCTTATACTATAAGCAGCTAGCTATTAGAGCTTATTTAATACTAATTAGTAGTTAATTTAATTAACTATAAATTAGTAAAAGTAATAATAAAGTACTTACACTTTATAAGGTACTTTATTTTATTACTTATCTTTTAGAAAGAGTAATAATAAAGTACTTACACTTTATAAAGTACTTTATTTAGTTACTTATTTTTTATAATAGCAGATTAATCCTTTGCATTATAT